GGTTGTCTACCGCAGGTCTTCGTGGATGAGCATGTGACCGACCAGGTCCATGCGATGCGTGAAAGTGCGAGGGCAGTGTGGGCAATGGAGGCGAGTGCGGTGGGTGTAGATGGGTGCTCCAGGCAGTAGTTCGCCAGTATCTGTGCGGTGGATTCGAAAGTGGCCGACCAGGACGATGTGTGAGATGAATGTGCGTGGACAGTGTGGGCATGAGAGGTTGGAGTTGCCGGTGTCGGCTACAAAGGTGGTGGTGGTGGTGGTGATGGACGCACAGGGCGATGAAGCGAGGGTGGGGCTGTTTGTGGTGGGTGTGTCTGGACTGCGGTCAATTCCGCTCTCATGGGTGCTCATGTGGCCGTATTGGCCCATGGCATGCCTGAAAGTGCGAGGAGAGTTTGGGCAGTTGAGTCGAGCGTGGTGGGTATAGGTTGGTGCTCCAGGCACTGATTCGCCAGTCTCTATGCGATGGATTCGCAAGTGACCGACCAGGCCGATGTGTGAGGTGACGGTGCTGTCGCAGTGCGAGCAGGTGTAGCCCTGGTCCTCACCTCCGGTGCCGATGGTGGAAGAGTTGGTGTTTAAGGATTTGTGAGAATTCTGTGGAGTGTTGGGGTGCGTGGCAGGCGCCACGACGGCAGGTGATGTAGAAGCGGGGAAGGAGGAGGAGAATTGAAGCGGTGGTTCAGAAGAGTAGTCAGAGGTAGATGAAGGCGGAGAGGACGAGGAAGAGGCGGGGGGATGGACGACGGTTGGCGCGGTCCGAGAGGCACAGTTGATCCGGAGGTGTCCAATAAGTCCAATTCATGCCCGGAATGTCCGTTGGCACCGAGGACACGTTGGAGGCGGTTGTGAATTGGCAGTGCGCGATGGGCGCAGCTGTGATTTGCGTGCTTCGCGTTTCGCTTTGGCGGCGGCGATGCGGTTGGCTATGTGGATAGCAGCGTCTGTCTTCTCTGTCCTCCTCCAAGTCGGTCGGTCTTGGACGAGGTCTGCCCAGTTTGTCGGGTTAATTTGCAGAAACTTCAGAGTATCCTTGTGTTGGCGAATTTGGCCTCCTTGACGGCGAGAACCTGTCGCGCCGTCTTCGTAGAAGAGTCGTTTGGGTAGTCGCTCGTCGTCCATGCGCACCAGGTGGCCGCTTCAGCGCAGCTGCATCTGTCTCAGCATGGTGTAGCTGCTGAGGATTCCCGTTCGTTACAGAACATCAGTTTCAGTGATTCGAACCTGCCAGTTCAGCCTCAGGATGCGACGAAGACAACTGAGGTGGAAGTGGTTCAGTCGGCGCGCCTGCTTTGTGTACACTGTCCAAGTCTCCGCTCCGTACAGCAGCGTCGGCAGGATGACGGCCTTGTGCATCTTCAGCTTCGTGCTCAGTTGGAGACCATGACAATTCAAAACTGTGCTTTAAAGGCGACCAAAGGCTTGACTGGCTTTTGGGATCCTGCGGGCGATTTCGTCGTCGATTTTGGTGCTACAGGAGAGGGTACTACCCGGATACGATAAGTTCTCCACCATTTGCAGATGAGCTCCGTTCACGCTGATTTACGGCGGTGTGTTGGGGGCTGTGGCTGAGTTGGGTGGCGGTTGATGCATCACCACCGTCTTCTGCGTGTTGATGACCAGACCGAAGTCCTCGCAGGCGGCGGAGAATAGGTCCATGCTCCGTTGCATCTCCGCTTCGGAGGTGGTGTTCAGGGCGCAGTCGTCGACGAAGATAAGCTCGTGAACGATGGTGGTGAATACGCGCGATTGGAAGTGCATCCGCCGTTGATTCAGCAGGTGACCGTCCGTCCTGTAGGCGATGCGGATCCCGGGGCGTTCGTCGCGGTAGGCGTCCATCAGCATGACAGAGAACATAAGACTGAAGAGGGTAGGCGCCAGCACGCATCCCTGCTTCACTCCTTTGGTCACTGCGAATGCCTCTGAGACAGCTCCGTTGTCCGTGACTCGCGCCATCATACCGTCGTGCAGCTGACGCACCATCTGAGTGAATCGCTCCGGGCAGCCGAATTTCTGCATGATCTTCCACAGTCCTTCACGATTCACCGTGTCGAAGGCTTTCGTCAGGTCCACGAAGGTAGAGTACAGGTGGGTCCGCATCTCCTAGCACTTCTCCTGAAGTTGACGGGTGGCGAAGATCATATCCGTGGTTCCGCGATGACGACGGAAGCCGCGTTGACTTTCCGGTAGAAGGCCCTGTTCCAGGTTATTATTCAGACGATTGAGGAGGATGCGAGCGAAGATCTTCCCGACGATGTTCAGTAAGGAGATGCCACGGTGATTGTCGCAAACTTTGCGGTTCTCTTTTCGCTTGTAGAGATGAACGATGGTTGCATCTTTTAAATCTTGCGGTACTTCACCTTGAAGCCAGATCTTCTGGAAGAGCGCAGTCAGGTGATCCATTAGTCGGTGACGTCCGTGCTTGTAGACCTCAGCAGGGATTGCGTCCGATCCTGGTGCTTTCCCGCTGGAGAGCTGCTGCACGGCCCTGATGGTTTCCTGGAGAGATGGCGGGAGGTCGAGGTCCACGTTGGTCTCAACTTGCGGCAAGCCGGCGATGGCGGCGTCAGAGATAGCGGAGGGGCGGTCGAGGACACCTCGGATATGCTCGGCCCATCGCTGTAGAATTTGTGTCTTCTCAGTCAGGAGGGCATGGACGTCGGCGCTGAGGAGAGGAGCAGTGCCCTTCGTCGGCGGACCGTAGACAACTTTTATCGCGGAGAAGAAGTTTTTCCATTCGTTGCGGTGCGCGTACCCTTGGATCTCCTCAGCTTTGCTGGCAGTCCAGACGTCCTGCATCTCGCGCAGTCGTTGCTGAAGCTGTCGGCGACTGCGGTAGAAAACAGCTCTGTTGTCGTCAGTGGGGTAGTCAATGTAGGCTATGTGTAGGCGGTTCTTCTCGGCGAGCAAATTGCTGATGGCGGCGCCGTTGTCGTCGAACCAGTCCTAGTGTTGGCGGCGCGCGCGACCGAGGACGGCTAGCGCCGTCGATTGGACCGTGTCTCTCAGTTGACACGAGCGGTTCTCCACGGAGGCGTTTTCGGCATCGGCGGCGGCGGCGTCGGCGAGGGGAAGGTTGTCTAGCCGTTGAGCTAGCTCATTGCTGAAATAAAGATGGTGAGCGGGCAAAGACAACAAGGCAGTATTCAGCATACCTGGGTGTCGCTTACCTTGTGGTCTCCTGCGAGGCTGTAGGCGAATACGCATCTTCGAGATGACGAGGCGATGGTCGGTCCACCCGTCAGCGCCCGCGATCGTCTTTGTCACCAGCACGTCCCGCTGATCTCGCCTCCGGACGAGGATGTAGTCCAGCAGGTGCCATTGACGAGACCGAGGATACCTTCAGGTGACCTTCTCTCGCTCCGGCAGACAGAAGAACGTGTTTGTCAGGATGAGGCGGTGTTCTGCGCAGGTGCGTAGGAGCAGCAGGCCATTGCCTTTTGAGCCGCGGAGCCCATGGGGACCCGGCAGTCCTCTCCAGGCAGCATGGTCTGTGCCGACGCGGGCGTTGAAGTCACCAAGGACAATCAACTTGTCCGCCTTCGACACAGTCGCAAGAGGGCGTGCAGGTCCTCGTAGAATTTGTCTCTTGCGGCGTCGGAGCTGGTCATCGGCGGAACGTAGGCGCTGATGATGGTGGCGAATTTTCCCCCACCCCTGAGAGGCATACGGAGGCTCATCAGGCGATCGCTGATGCCCTGTGGCAAACGGGGCAGTCGTCTCACGATGTCGTTCCGAATGGCGAAGGCGACACCCGCGTCTCGTCGCTCTGCCCTGGGTCGACCGCTTTAGAAGAAGGTGTAGCCGGCACCCACCTCCTCCAGTTGGCCTTGTTCGGAGAATTGAGTCACGCTGAGTGCGACTATGTCCACCTTGTAGCGCGTTAGTTCTCGTGCCACTAGTGCTGTCCTGCGTTCCGGTCAGTTGCTTCTCGGATTGTCTAAAATGGAATGAACATTCCAGGCTGCCAGAGTGAGCGGACTTGCCAGTCTGGTGGCAACGAGTGGGGCTGCGGGAAGGAGGTGAGGAAGAAGGTGACGAAGGAGGTGAAGAGGCAGAAGAATAGGCGGAGGAAGAGGAAGAAGAGGTAGGATGAGGAGGTGAGGGAGTATTGTTGTTGGTTGTTATTCTTGTTTCGATTTTGATTGTTTCGACCATGTTTGTGACATCTGCGACCCTGGCTAGCCTGCGGACGGCGTGGTGCCCAGCAATGTTAAGGCCACCTTTTCTAGGCCCTACCCCTCGTGAGGGCATGCAGTGCCACCCCTGAATAGGACTGTCCATGTGCCGTTTTGGCGTGGCCGCACTCCATTATGGGGCCACGACTTCTTTTCGTAGTGGAGAATGACTCGAATTTGCCGTAAGTCAGCAGTCTCCGACGGCGAAGATGGGCGCGTCAAGGCGGTGTCGATATGGAGATCCACCCCGTCACCGGCTGTCCAGCGGCTCGCTAGGCGAACCTCGTCTCGACGGTGCCGACGCAAGGTTCCATCCGACCATCCATCCAGCGGAGTCCGTAACACCCTGTGCACGCGGCAAAACGCGCACAAGGCGCTCTCAGCCGGTTTAGCCCGCCGGTCGAGGCGGTTGCCCGGGGTGTGGCCGCTGAGCAGAGCCAGCTACGTGGAGCCAAAAGTGAGAGTTGGGTGCCAGCAAATGGACGCTAGTAGTCTTGCCTGCAAGCAAGTGAGCGACCACCACGACCATCACGTGGACCCACCGCTGGACACCCCTACATCCCACACGCACGCACGCACGCACGCACGCACGCACGCACGAGGATTACGTACAAATTTGTTACTCGGCTCGGACCACGCCTGTTCGTGAGTGGCATTAGGGAACCATCGCAGTCTGACCCTATGTTCGTCAGTCGGCCACTCAACGCACAAACACACGCTGAGTCGACTGCGTGGTATGATTTGAGTCGTCAATTAGAAATCTTCTAAGCCACGACTTTTACGGCATCGTGATAGTCTCAGGCGTGTCAGATTGTTTAATATAAGGAATATGCACTAAGTGTCGACGTCTCTCTCCCTTCCTCTTTCCGCTTTCTCGTGCATCAGTCAATTTTCTGAGCCAGTCAATCAACTGATTCCGCCTCCTTTATCGCTAGCGCATCACGGGAATATAGTCTAGTAGTTACCGGTGGCGCGGTCAAAGGTGTGCCCACTTTGTTTGGGAGACAGGTGCTGGCTGTGTTCCCTGCAGGCTTGTGACGGGAGGTCGTTGTCGTTGCAGCCGTTGACTCTGTGGCAAGGTGGGGCTTCCTACAAGGTCGCATGAGCTATGCCTACACGAGCATCGAATTACCCAATGGAAATTAATTTGTCCACCCTCATCACCGCTGAGAGGAGGGCGTGAAGACACTCATTGAAACTGTCCTTTATGCCAGCAGGGCTTGTCAGTGAGGAGGTATGGGTGTTGCTGA